ACAGTGTGGAATGGGCGACTGAGCTGACCCCACCACACTGAGGCTAAAGCATTCTTAAGGAGCCCTGCTAACCACAAGGTCAGCAGTTCAAAACCACCAGTTGCTTTGCATAAGAATGAGGAGGTTTTGTACTGCTGTGAATATTTACAGCATCTTTAACCTGCAGGGAAACATCTACTATGTTCTAAGGCAGTGGTTCTCAACCTTCCTAATGCTGCGACCCTTTCACACAGCTCCTCATGTTGTGGTGACTCCCCAACCATTAAATTATTTCTGTTGCTACTTCATAATTGTAATTTTGCTACTGTTATGAATCTGGCGACCCCTGTGAAAGGGGTCGTGACCCACAAGTTGAGAACTGCTGTTCTAAGGAGTCATTATGAGTGGGAATCAACCTGTTGGGAGTGGGCAATGCGAAGGCACTGCCTCCCAGCCCAACCAGGTCTTAAAATACTTCTGAATGTTATAAGAGAGGGATGCTATGTAAATACCACATAATTTTAAATATCTGTAAACGGACTCTGAGAGAAAACAAGCTCCATTTTTATTCTTAAAATTAAAAATTTCAAAGTGAATTCAGCACAATGGCATAAAAGAAAGTTCCTTTGAGTTCTGATCCTGATCCTGGAATTCCAGCCATGAGTTCTTGGGCCTAATATTACCGCCTCTGACTTCAATTTCTAATCTTAAATAAATTCCTTGACATATATGATCTCAAATTTCTAGTTGGAGTCCTTGGATGCTAAAGATTTGGATGCTTGACTATTAACCAAAAGTTCAAAAGTTAAGAGTCCACCCAGAGGTGCTATGGAGGAAAAGCCTAGTAATTTACTCTCAAAGTTTCCGTGGAAAACCCTATGAAACAGAGTTCTACTTTGTCACACAGATGTTACCACGAGTCACAGTAAGCTCATGGCAACTGGTGATATTTCTAGCTAAACTTTCCTAGGGATATCTTTTAAATGTAGACTTTTATCTTTCTAAGTCTTCTAGTGGTCTCTGACATCTGGGAGATAAACATTAAATGCCTCTAGTTTTCCAGTGTCGGTGTCATGTACATGAAAAAAAATGACCAAAGATACCATAGAAAATATTATGTAACATCATGTGTATATCTTTTGT